GTGTTTATGGACCTCAGTGAGTGATCCCCCCCCACCACCACCACCCCCACCACCACCACCCGCTGTGTCCAGGTTATGCTTCATTAACATATAGATTATATAAACAGGAGTTGGTTTATGGCTCAGATCAGTTTCAGTTTCCAATCTGGAGATAAATGTGTAAAAGTCCGTGTGTTACCAGGACGTCGTGGCCGTCTCTGGTACAGCACAGCTCTCACAGTGAGAACATCAGCTGCTTCTCTCCTGCCTGACTGCCTATTTGTTCAGGTCAACGCTGCAAACGTGTTCACCGACGATCTGAGAGAAAATGTAATTTTGTTCTCCACACATGGGTAACAATCTATTTTCTGTCTGCCTGCTCCATCCTGAACCGAGGAGCCGCTCCTCCTCCTCCTCTTCACGTCAGCTTTCATTTTCTCGTTTTAAAGGTTAGGATCATATATATTTAATGACAATTTCAATGATTGGATTTATTAAAGGTTTTGTTCTAAAACCGTGTGTAGAATGTGGGAATGAATTTGAATTTTATGTTCATGATTTTAAAAAAAAAGTTGTGAATGATCATCAACTGAAGGCCCGTGGGCTGAATCCGGCCCATATAACTGTGCAATCCGGCCTGTGGCTGGATACATCAAATGATATATTAGTTTATATCATTCCAGCATTTTGTCATTAAATATATATATATATATATTATTTGAGTGTCCGACCCCCAAGGTGTCTTTTCAGAAAAATTCTGGCCCTCCGACAAATCCAGTTGGTGACTCCCCTCTGTATGTTTAGCGACAAATTACCTTGATTCAAAGCTGAATGTTGTAGCTGGATGATTTTCTTTTTCTTCCTGAGTGCTGTTGGACCTGACCTCATACTGTACTGTGTTGTATATACAGTATTATATCACTACATAGACAGACAAGGAAGAACAGGACACCTACAGTAACTGTGCTCAGGATTATAAGATATTTTCAGCTAAAGCAGATTCTACACTCCCTGGCTTGCGTGCCTTCACAGACTCAGCCAGGAAGTCTGTCTTTAACCTGACATCCAGAGAATCAACACAGGACAGGATTTACTTTCACTGTAAACAACCCAGAATCCTATTAGCATTAGACTGAAGTTCCTTTCCTGACTGGCTAACTGCAGACTATCATTGTTCAAGCTGACGTGACTGATTTGTTTTGTTGCATCATAGTATCATTATTCAGTACTATTAGAACAGCCCAGATCAAACGAACAGTTTTGGCCATTTTCTTTTATTATTAAAGTCAGAAGTGTGTGGAAGAATGGATGAAAAGGAGAAAAAAGTCGCCTTTTCAGTAGGCAGGATTTTTCTGGACACGAGAGATCCCTCTGCTCTGGAAAAGCTTTATACTCTTTGGTTCATACCGTTGTTTTGATCACATGACCTCTGCAGTATCACTGCTACATTTACTTAAATCAATTCATTGGCAAAGGATGTGCGCACTCTGCCTTTTACTCAAACGACTGCATGTATCTGTATTGGTTGATATCGGAATTGGAAATTAAGTGTTTGGACAAATAATCTAACATATTTTACCTTTAACCAGTTAGCCTGAAGACACATGGTCAAACTGACCAGATCGACTGTAGAGTTGAGTCTGTCTGTTTAAGCTCTGTATGAATCCATTGTCCGTATCAATGGCTGCGACTCCATGTTGGATTAATTTGGTGTGGAGCGCGGAGCGGCCAATGAGCAGGACAGACTCACAGATGGTGACTGGATCGTTCTCAGAGGATTGACCTTGTTTTCCCCCTCAGCTCTGGATTTGATTGTGTATAATCCTGGCCCAGTGACAGACTGACTGATCATCTGTGGATAAAACCCCTGTCAGCAGTTCCACATGAAAAAAAAGAAAGAAAAGAACAACCCACACTTGTTAAAAAAAAAAAAAGTTTTAAAGAACCAGAGCTGTAAAAACACTCCGCAAGACGATTAAAAATGTAAGAAATCTGAAGAACCGAAATTCTTTTGGGTCAGATGATTTTAAATTCAATCCACTTCACGTGTTTCCTGTAGCTCCCTCTTCTGTACAGTTCTTGCCCGAGTGCCTTTCAGTGCACCCTCATTCACTGCTGCCTGGTTAAAGAAAAAAAACAATGGGGAGCAGTGGGGGGCAGCAGCAGGGGCGGCTGCACCACCTGCCACCCTCTGCGTGTTAGGTGGTGTTTAAAACACCATGTAGTGTCGGGTATGTTGGGTTTTATTGTCTTTTCTCACGTGAGGAAATCAGAAAAACACCAAAAATCCGACCTGTCCTAAATCTCAACGTCAAATCTGTCGTAATCTTAAGCCCTTTCAGACAAAACACACGCCAGGCTTTTGTACGAAACAAACAATGTTTACATTTCTGATGCTTCTCTACTTTGCAGAAAATTCCGGTCTGGATGTGAAGTACGGTTGTCCCTCGTTTATCGCAGGGCTAACGTTCCAAGAACATGAAGTAGAGACACTTTAATTATTATATTATTTACATATATATTAACCTTTAATGGACCCTTTAGGACAGTGTTTCCCAAACTTTTTTTCTGGGGACCCTTATTTAAAAAAAAAAAAAAAACTCTTGCGACCCATCTGAGGGGCGCAACGCAGTCTTTGGGAAAAAATGTTTTAGGAAGGGGCGTAGGGCATAAAATATGCAACAAAACTTTCACAAAACTTTTTTACCCGAATACCCCGTATGATGGTGTTGCAAAATATCTTTTTAGTTTTTTTTCTTCTTAGGCTTGAAAATGCTTATTTTATCACAAAAATAATGAAAATATTAGAAATAAAAAAATGTCTCATACAGTACTGCAAAAACCTGCGATAGAGCGAAAAGTCGGCAACACAAGAATACATTTAAAATATTAAAAACCTGTGATGGCGTGACAGCGATACAGTGAGCTGTATACTACATTGAAAATATTGGCTTCTTTCTTGAAAACTGTAATAATACTACACAGTAAAAGCAGCATCATGGTACTTTATTTTCTCATGTAATCCAGTCCAGGGTTTGGTAAAATGTGTTGGTGATTTTTAGTTGTTGTGCAATGAGTGAATGAGAGTGCAGTGATCTCCAGAGGGAGAGAAACAATGCTGCAGCTGTGAGGTCAACATCATGGAGGTCTTCAGTCACCATCCTGATCAAGGCCTCTCTCATCCTCCGCCTTCAAGCGCTGCTTCATTACTGGGACACAGATACATGTTTCCATTGTGTGTTTTCTCTCCAGCGTCCCAGCCTTTGGGACTGGAGCCCAGCTCCATCTTCTGACACCAGGAGCAGTGACATGAATATAGGCCACGCACATTATTCTGCCCTGTGAACTGAAGAGATAAATAATGCAGAGGTGCTTCCTGCCCCACCCCGGGTCAGAATCCAGGAGAAAACACGTAATTTACCGCTTTTGTTCCGCTCACTAAACTCCCACCCTGTTCACTTTTTAATTTGGCCCCTTCTCGGTGCACCCCCCACCCTCCTGAAGCACTTTCTCTCTCTCCTCCCACCGTCCCCTCCCCCTCTATCCCATTTTTCTTTCTTTCTTTCATCAATCCCCTACAGTCTTCCTCTCCCTCTCTCTCCCCCTCTCCTGCCCTCCTTCCGAGGATCCCCGTGGTCTCTATGCCGTCTGCTGCAGTGGCTGAGATAAGACGGTCAGAGGACAGTATGATAATCACGTTATCAGCAGCACATCGTGCCAGTGAGTGAGTGAGTCTGATGGTGGCGCTGGTTCCTGGTCAGAGGACAGTATGATAATCACGTTTGGACACAGTTCAGATTCCCTCGCAGCAGATCGTGCCAGTGAGTGAGTGGGTCTGATGGTGGCGCTGGTGTGTCCCTGAGTGACAGTTACACCCGTACATGTCTGTGTGAGGCTTTGAGACAAA